AAAGCTCTTCATTACGTGTTTGTGAATGAATGAATGAATGAATGAATGAACGAACGAACAAGCAAATGATGCCTTCACCCTGTCATTGTTTCAACTCCCACTGTAGCCAGCAAGCCTCTAGCAAAGTAGTTCCTAAACTCGGTTGCATTGGAATCACCTGGGAATCTTTAAAACAGCTCATATGTGACTCCCACCCTAGAGGTTTGGATTCAGTTGCTATGGGATATGACCCGGACACACTGACACTTTTTAGTTCCCCCAGTGAGTCGAGTGGTGCAGTTTGGGAACTAAAAGTCTGAGACACAGGCTGCCTGGCCTGGGAGGAGGAGGGTAGAGGAGGAGGGTGGGGAGGGCGGGCGTTTGTAGGAGAGGAGAGCTGTTTATGCTCTCTTGGTTTTTGCAGTCACCTGACAGGAGTTTTTCCTCCTTGGCCTCACCCAGTTCAAGTTAAAAGATTGGTCTGACTTCCTCCTTCTCTGCCACCCCCTCCTCTTAGATGATTGAATGAGTCAGAGGAAACGCAGGTCTTCTCACCATTTTCCCTCTCGTTGGGTTTGCGTGAGTAAGAAAACCCATTGCTCAGTGTGCACAGGTTGACAGAAATAGAGCGTGGTCTCTGGGAACACTCAGCCAGAGTCAGTCAGACCTTGTCCTCCCCGGCTGCCCAGCGTCCAGCCAGACACGGCGAGGGAAGCCAGCCCCGGGGGAAGGCATCCTGGCCACGGGACAGTCACCGGCACTGAGGTGACTGCCAGTGGAAGGGGCTCCCATTTTCAGGATGCGTACCTGGTCCCACATCTGTTCCTGGGCTAGCGGGGGTTGTAGAACGGGAAGGGATCTTAGCAATGTCCATCCCACACCTTTCCAGGGAAGGACTGGTCCCAGGTGCCCTCCTCTTCCAGGCCCAGTACAGCCCCCCGGACAAGGCAAAGGCCAAGGCCCTGTGGAGTGGAAGGGTTCCGGGATAGACATGTCCTGCCATTGTTTCTAAGTGGGAGATTGGGAACAACGTTCCCCCATTTGTCAATGGTCACCTTTAAAGCCACAGAACCCCAAGTCCTGCCTATCTCCTTAGTGCCTGTTTTTCCTTTTTGAAGCCTGGGCTTACAATATCAAAGGCTGAAATTGTCCTCTGGGCTGGAAAGCTGAGGCTTCATGCTCAGGGCTGCTACTTTCTGACTGTGCGAGGGCAGCGTCTGTGGGCAGGCCTGCGCCAGCTGCCGGGAGGGCTTTCCCGCACAGAGAGCAGCAGCCAGCCATACTGTGGCTGGGCACAGGGATGTCCAGTGTGCGACAGGGTTGGGCTGATGTTGACAGACCTGGTTGATGATGATGTCTGTCTGGGAGAGCACTGGACAGAGAGTCATGAGGCTCGGCCCTAATCCTGGACCCACCTCTGAGGGCACCTGTGCGAAGAGAAGCTCTTTCCCACCTCTGAGGCTCCTTCCTCTGTTTGGGAAAGGAATGGCTATACCAGGCCGGTGATTTAAAAAAAAAACAAAATGTATGTTATTGATTTCAGAAAGGAAGGTAGAGGAAGAGAGAGATAGAAACAACAATGATGAGAGAGAATCATTGATCGGCTGCCTCCTGCACACCCCACACTGGGGACCGAGCCCTCAACCCGAGCATGTGCCCTTGACCGGGAATCAAACCGTGACCTCCTGGTTCATAGGCCTGCTGGCCAGACCAGTGATTTGAAACACCCTTAAAGCCACAGGACCCTTTGTTCACATGACATCTTATGCAAGTACTTTGTTCACACACAGTCCACATGTACAGCAGACAGAAGTGGAGCTATCCCTCACCTGGGGCATCTCCTCCCTTTGGCAGGGTCCCCACAGAACCCCAAGGAACCCAGTTTGAGAACCATTGGACCTAATGCTTTTTTTTTTTTTTTTTTAAGTTGGTTGGCATCAGTTGCTTGACTAATACTAATACTTTGGTAATTCTCAGAAAGCTCTTTTCCTGTTACAACGATGCCATACATGCTTAGCCCATCTTTCCATATGGCCCCAAACATGTCTCTTTTCACCTCTTTACAACATCTGATGTTGAGCTACCTCCTGCATGGTGACAGCAGGAGGAAAATAGACACAGGCAGGAAGCTGTGGTACAGGGAGAACTTAGTGTTCTCTCCCTTCACCTGGATCACCCAAGCGGCCACGTGTTTTCCACCTCCATCAGTTTCTGGAGGATGGTAACTCCCGCTTGTCAACACTCTACCCTAGGGGTGTCGAACTCAATCAGAGAAGGGGCCAAAATCTAAAATCCAACCTAAATCGCGGGCCGAATGGTTTACTGAACAGTCATAAACTGTCATTGTGATGGAAACGCAGCGGAGTGCAGTGATGACAGCGCGGTACGGGCCACATTGCAAGGCCTGGCGGGACGGATTTGGCCCGCAGGCCTTGTGTTTGACACATGTGCTCTACCCGCTTCTCTCTGGCTCTAGCCTTCAACACCATGGGAGTAGTCTTGTACTGACCATGGCAGAGTCCCTTTCATGTCATAAAAAGAATGAATCACAGTGGCTTTGTCCTCGGAAAATTATTCCTGGTTACAGTCCCTGGAAGGTGGTTTCTGTTTTGGATGAGCCGGTTCTTCCTCCTGAAGAGTCAAGGCAGACGCCCTTAGGGCTCTCACAGCTCTGGGTGAGCCCCGTGAGGGAGTCCACGCCCCGCCACTCCCCAGCCTGCCTGTCTCCCTCCATCAGGAAAGCATCCCCGTCAGAGTGGAAAGGAGAGGAACCCGCACTGGCAGCCAGGAGCCTGATGTCGGGCCCTGCTTATCTGATCTCACTGTGTGGCTTTGCACAAATCCCCAGCCCTCTCTGAGCGTCTGTCTTTCCAGCTATAGCTGGGGAAGAGTTCATTAGGTATGTATCCAGAGAGTCTTCCCGGTGTAAATGGTTTGATTCTATAACATCTAGGACACAACCATGCTCTGAGTGCCCGCAGCACCGGAGGTGGCATCGTTCCGGACACTTATTTCATCATTTCACTAAACCTCACCCCTGGAAGAGGACAGTCTTGTTTCCAGTTCGTAGGGGTGGGAGCCGAGGCTCTGGAACATTGAAGGACATCCCCTCGGGAAACTGCAGGGCTGGGCAGACTTCAGGCTCAGAAGGGTTCGGTGCTGGCATCTTGTGACCTTCTTCTTCGTCGTGCAGCCTTTCACAGCAAATACCCGGAGATGCCCCCCACCCCACTACTTTTGGGGAAAATTAAGAGGGACCAGTAACCCTGCCCGCTCCATTGAGCTCTCGAAAGAGTCAATCGGGCTGTCCCTGGTGGGGGCAGGGAGGGGACTTGACAAACCCGACTTTCTCATTGACCTTCCCTAGGACAGTGCCGGGACCAGAGAAGGAATGAGCACCTTGGGTACTGTTCTCCCGTTCTGGGTGATTCCGTCACGGGGCCGCTCTCTGGGGCCCCGAAGTCCTAGGGGCATATGAGACTCCAAAAGGAAGAGGGGAAACTGAGATAGAACCCTTGGACTTAGCCACACCCTTAAACTTTACAGAGGCTGCCAAGGTCTTGGGGTGAAGCTGGGAAGGCAGAGAGCAGGCCCAAGGTGCAGAGGCCTGTCCCACATCTTTGAGGAGTGCCTACAATAAAGTGTACCCTCTGTGCCAGGGTGCACAACCCACGAGGCAGACTGTGCCGTTCCCATTCCGCAGATGCAGACACTGAGAGGTTGTAGAACTCCCAGAGTCACAGCTGGCTCCGTAGGAATCACATCCAGGTCTGTCTGAGGCCAAAGCCAGTGTTCTTGATGATCCACCACAGGGCTCCTGTGTGTCAGGGACGGCTAAGTGATTGGGTAGCTGTCCCTGCTACACCTCTGAACTGAAAGGTGTAAGCAGCAGCCATGGCGTTTCCACCTGACCCCTACTGCACCCTCCTCCCCTCACACACTGCCCTTGCCAGGTCTGCCTCTGGTGAATGCTGTTCTTTTTTGGGGGAGCCCCCAGCAAGTCTGGGAGCCCCAGTGGGATGCTTTATCTCAGAGACAGATTCTGGTAAACGAAGGGGCAGCCGTGAATTCATTTGCAGGAGAGAGATTGGGGAGAAGGTTGTTGAGAGCAAGGAGCCAGAGAGGACAGAAAGCTGGAAAGTTCTGTGTGTGTGTGTGTGTGTGCATGTGCACGGGGACAGCTGGCTGGGTGACAGGCCTTGACCATACCAAAGTGCCACCTTGTTGGTCAATGAAAGCTCAGGAAAAGCAAAGGTGGCTTCCCCCTGACCTGGGCCAGATAATCAGGAAGATAAATGTTTCCCTCGGCCCAGTTACACAACGCAACATCCAGGGAAAGGGAAACCACATTTGCAATGTTTGCTGCTTTGCACCTTCACCTCCTTTTAATCCAGAGCATAGTGACATTTCGACTTACATTGTATTTACCAGGATTCAACAGAAAGGGTCCTTTCCTTTTTGTGTTTTAGTTCTGTTGTCTTTTTGTATTGTCATTGATTGATTTTTAGAGGGGGGGAAACCATCGATTGCTGTTCCACTTATCCATGTATTTATTGGTTGCTGATTGGTACGTGCCCTGACCCGGAGGAACCCAAAACCTGGGTACATCAGGAGGAGGGTCTAACCCAGGGAACTGCTGGCCACGGCTTCAGCTCCTGTAGCCTCTTTGTATTACCGGGCTGGCTATGAAGACAACTTGGACTTCCCACGAAAAAATGGTAAGGTTATCGGCGGGATGCAGGATGAGAGTCAAAGTAGGAGCCACCACGAGACTCTGGCGGCGGCGAGAAGTTGGGGGTAGGTGTTGGCAGGTCTTCGTTGGGGTTCGCAGATGTGAGCCCGGGAGCTCTGGCCAGAGTCTCGCAGCGCGGTGACCACAAGCAGAGTGCACTGAATGGACAGCGGCAGCCGCAGAGCCCGCCAGGCAGGCGCGGGTGGAGGAACTGCCTCCGGTCTTCCGCAAACGGGCGATGGTGACCTGGCGGTGCAGGCTCCGGAGGGCCCCGACCAGCTCCGCTCACCGCAGCGCCCCCTGGGACGGGCGTCGCCTGGGCCCGCCCCCTGGCCGCGCGGCGATTGGTCGACACCGCCCCAGACACCTGCCCCTTACCTTAGGGGGCGTGGCTACCTGGGCCCGCCCCACGTGGCTCGGGTTCCCAGGCGGTGCCTCCTCGGGCCCCGCCCCCAGCCCCAGGTCCCGCCCCTTCGATCTCGGATCCCGGGCGCCTCGTGATGTCACGGCCGCTTTGATACAAAGAACCCTTCGGCCCACGCGGGTCTCCCGGCAACCGGCGCGGGCGGGGGCGGGGCCGGCATCTCCCGCGGGGGCCGCAGCGTGCGATCCGCCGGCCGCGGGGCTGTGCCGCTCTCTCCGCGCCGCCCGCCACGTCCCTCCCCGCCGCGAGCCACCCGTGTCCGCCTGCTCCTCCGCGGCGCCCCGACCTGCGATCGGACCTGGAATGCGCACCCCGCCGGCCCCCGGGGGCCAGGTAAGCAGCGGCCGCAGGGCTCGGGCTGGAGGGGCACCTGGCCCGCCCCGGTCCCTGGGCCAGGGAAGTGGCCGGAGCGAGCGTGGAACTTCGCCCGCCCGCAGCCCGGCGCCAGCTCCCGCCCCGGGAGGGGCCGCCCTCTCGGCCTTGGCCCGGAGGGAGGTCAGGTTACCTGCAGCCCGCGGCTCGCTGGCCGAGAGGAGAAGCCGCTGCCCGCTCCGGGCCCTGTGCCTGCACCCAGGGGTGTGAGGGTGGGCACGACTGGCGCTGGGGCGCGGAGGGAGGTGGCCGCTTCTGTCTCAGGTGCAGCTTCAGAAAGTTGTTTTTTTTTGGGGGGGGATAGTTGCCAGGAAAAGAGGTCGTTGGTCTAGACGTCTCCTTTGGGACCCTCACGTCCCACCATCACCCCAGCATCCTCCCACCCCACGCCACCCCCTGCCCATGGGTGTTGACGCAGCGCTGCTCCTGCCCCCGCCGCCGAGCCCCGAAGCGGGCTGTGCGCGGGGGAGCTTCCCCGCAGCTCTTGGCGGCGGCACCGAGCCTATTCCCCGGCTCCTCTCTTCTCTCTGGGGGACTCTGCGGGGCCGGAGGGACGGCCAGCCTAGTTGGGGGTTTGTCCCTTCCCAGCCAGGATGCTGCGGAGGCCCGAGCTGTGCGGGACTCCCACCTCTTCGCGCCCTCGGAGTCAGCGCGGGTGGGTCCTGGCAGTAGTTGCTATTGTCACAGCCCTTTCCCACTCTCCCTCCCACTTTTCCTCTATTCCGTGAGGACCTTGGTCCCTCTTCAGCCCGGGACTTTCCCCTGCTCATCCCTGCATACCCACCAGTGCCCCCTTTTCCCATGTCCCCGTCTCCCCAGCCCCGCTCTTCCCGAGGTGGCTGGAGGTGACGGACACACACACACCACTGGGCCCTGAGGGACATGCCATGTTCCTTGACTAACTTATTTCTAGGTCACCTTCCTGCACGCAGCCGGGGCAGCACCCCCTGGGCTGGTTTCTGGTGATCACTCCTTCCCTGGCCACCCTCCCTGGAGGCAGCGCCCACGGCTTGGGCTCCTGGGAAGGGAGTGGGGCAGGCGTATCCGGAGGCATCCCCAGGTCCTTCCCCTGGTGAGGTGTGGTTACCCTGATGTCAGGTTATGGAAAAGGAATCTCAAAGCTGGGAGGGCACCAGTTGTGTGCCTCCCAGACCTTGGCAGTGGGGACCTCTGTCTCCGGTAACCAGCGAACAGCCTCGGTGGAGTCCCTGTGTCTTGCTACCTCCAGAGCACTAGCTTACCCAGATAGACTTGGGCACAAGCCTTCAACTGCTAATTACATGCCCAGGGGCTACTGTAAACACTGCCCGGAAGACGTTTGTAGTCAGTTGGGAGACTGATAACTCCTCTGAGCTGTTAGGCTAGTTGATCTGGTTTGTCTTCTAAGGTATCTGTGAGGTGTGTGTGTAAGGTGTCTGTGAGGGGTGTGTGTGTGTGTGTGTGTGTGTGTGTGTGTGCGCGCGCGCGGTGTCTATGAGGTGTGTATCGTCCTGCCCCCCCCCCCATCACCCCCCAATGTGTGGCCTGGAGAAATGAGGGAAGCCAGTGAAGACCATGGACCTTGAGCAGCTTGAGTAAACCACCTACTGGGGGGGACAGCTTTGTAATTTTGGGGACCCTGGGCTTTGGTGGAGGGGGTGGGGTGGATGACTAAGGCCCTGTGGAGATAAGGTTGTGCCTAGGGGAGGAGCTAAATTAGCGAGGTATGACCTTTGTCCCAAGGAAGATCAGGAGTGGAGACTGCCTGGCGTCAGTTCATGGAGAGGGCTTTCCGCCCGGGGAGGGGAGAAAAGGGAGAAGAAACTAGGACACCTGGAGCAGCCTGCCCTGGGGAGGCTCTGGGCTACAGCGTGAGCACTTCCTGGTGGATACTCCGCAGGCCGTGTTTCCCCCACCCCCACCCCCTTCCCTCTCTTCAGAGCATTGGTGCCCTCCCCTAAAGCACACTGGCCCCTCCGGAGCCTCCTCGCTCCCGCCTCTCCTACCAAAACCAGCTGCCCACACGAGGGCAGGGCTTTCTCTCTGACGGCTCACCCAGGACCCTCACAGCTCTTCCTGTAACTCCCCCCGCCCCCCTTCCCCTACACACACACCCGTCCCCCAAAGTGGCTAGAAACTTCCTTCCCACGGCTGCAGTTCCTCCTCTGATGTGGCCTGTTATGCCAAGAGCTGTTTCACAATTGGTCCTGCTTTGAGGGGCTTCACAATTTTACTTCACGTTACATATTTTAGGCATGGGGAAGGCAGGAGGTGGAGGGGGCGGGAGAGGCTCCCAGTAAAGCAGCAGGTGAACAGTTCCTGGAAGGCACGCGCCTCAGGGACCGAGGGCCATGGCCAGGGGAGGGACAGCCTGGCCAGAGGGTGCCCACCCGCTGGCCCTGTGCTCTGTCCCCTTGGGCAGGGGGTGCTCGTTGGGCTTTGGAAAGGAAGCATCTTTCTCTCGTCTGCCCGCTGCCTGGTGTTGATCGTGGGGCGTCATGCCTTGGCCTGGCCAGGTGTGCGGAATCTGGGGTTGGGCTCTGGTTTTCCTCCAGGTCCACTATGCTGGCTCCTGACTCAGTCACTGGGCGTTAAGTCACTGGCCTCTCCAACGAGGAGAGGTCTACCTACTACCCGGTCTCCAGGCTGGGCACCCCGAGACAGTCATGTTGGTTTGGCAGGTCCACCTGGATCTTGCTGGACGTGGTGTGATCATCTCTCCTGCTTGTGGGATGGCAGTCTGGTGGCATCAGGTGGCATTCCAGGACACAGACCCTTTCTCATTTCTGTTTGCCCAGCCCCTGCCCACATGCTCTCACAGGCAGTTTTTTTGTTTTTGTTTTTGTTTGTTTTTTAAGCTTCTTAGAGAAGAAGGGAGAGGGAGAGAGAGAGAAACATCAATGTGAGTGAAACATCAATTCGCTGCCTCCTGCTCACCCCTACCTGGGATTCAGCCCAGGCATGTGCCCTGACCAGGAATCAAACCGGTAACTTTTTGGTGCACAGGACAACGGCCAACCAGCTCAGCCACATGGACCAGGGCAGCAATTTTTTTATTTTTTATTTCAAGAAACATTTGAGCATCTAATTTGTGCTAGGTTCTGTGCTGGGCACTGGAGATTCTGCAGTGAACAGTAGGCCACAGTCCCTGCCATCGTGAGCTCACATGGTGGCAGAGGGGGCAGGAAACAGGTAAAACCTGCAGTGAGTGGGCTGGCAGGAGAGAAGGCAGGGCAGTATGGAGTGCTGAACGAGGAATTGTGTTTTAAATGGAGTGGGCAGGGAAGGCCTCCCTGAGAAGGTGGCATCTTGACCAAAGAGCTGCAGGCGGAGGGAACAGCAACTGCAAAGGCCTGAAGGCGGAGCCGTGGCTGATGAGGTGTGTCCGCGGAACTGCAGGGGAGCTGTCCTGTGGCAGAGTGAGGCGGGCAGTGTAAAATTCAGGGGCTAGGGGCTGATGTGGCCAAGCCACCGCCCAGAATCCCAGGAGGGAGAGCAGGAGGGCAGTACAGTTGAGTCTAGCAATCCATCTGTCCACAATGCATTTCCTGTCTCTGCCCACCTCAAACAGGGCTGTTGAGAGGTTTGGCCATTAGGCCTTTGCTGGGGGAGGTGTCTGTGTGGTCGTGGCTGCTGTGGACTTTCCTGCCCTCAGCCTGTCAGTGCAGATAAGCTGTCCACAGGAGTGTGGAAACAGCTCTTGCCAGACTGTTCTTCCCACACACAGACGGGACCAGCAGAGCCCACCCCGGTGACGTGCACTAAGCAGGCAGGGCGCTGTGGGGCCATCTCCCTGTGCTCCCGTCAGAGCTGTGGGGGGAGGGGGGGTGTGTGGCAAGTTCAGCCTCTGAGACCTGCAGCGCGGTGGCAGCTGTGCTTGTCCGGTTCTGGCCGGCCTCCCCTCGGGCTGTTTCCTCTTCTCCTTCTTGAGCTTCTGACCTTCCTGAGCCCAGGGGTCCTGGGCCTCTGTTCACTCCACAGACCCATGGGCAGTGGGCACAGTTTATGCCCTGGTCTCCTAAGGAGTCTCTGTCCAGCCAGGCCCTGTGCGTGAGTGAGTGTATGTGGTGTGCTGTGTGTGTGGTATGGTGTGTGTGTGTGTGTGTGTGTGTGTGTGTGTGTGGTGTGTGTGTGTGTGTGTGTGTGTGTGTGGTGTGTGTGTGTGTGTGTGTGTGTGTGTGTGTGTTGTGTGCGGTGTGGTGTGGTATGGTATGTGTATGAGTTTGTGTGTGGTGTGGTGTATATGTATGTTTGGTGTGTGGTGTGTGGTGTGTGTGTGTGTGGTGTGTGTGTATGTGCGGTGTGGTGTTTGTGTGTGTGTGTGTGTGTGTGTGTGTGGTGTGTAGGAGAAAGTAGGCAACCAGAACTGTGTGCATACTTAGAGTGTCACATGGAGGTCTGAAGTGGGAACGTGGTGGTCCAGAGCTGTGGGGTCCAGGTGACCTCTGATCCCAACTCTCACTAGCAGGCTGGTACTAGTAACACCAGGGTGTCTAACCCCACTTCTTGACTTCCTTCAAGAAACGGGAAGTTTTCTGACTGTGGGGCCTATTTTCAATTGATTCAACCTGCTTCATCTTCCCTGGAGTGTGCACATGATTCAAATGAAAACAGAAGCCGGTAGCTAATACCTGTGGCTCTGCTCATGGCGCTTTCTCCTTTAAGGGATCAGAAAGAGGAAGACCTAAACAGAACCCGAGTGTAGGAGAGTGGGTGGGAACGCTCTCATTGTTGAGTCATTTTTGTCACCCCACTGTCCTCTGCACTGCGCAAGCCCATTGCCATAAAAAGGAAGCCACCCATTTCAAGTGGCCTGTGGGGTCTGCTCTTCACGGGACCTCCATCTCCCCCTTCGAATGGAGAGAGAGAAGGAGCGAGTTTATCCTCCCCGACCACTGGTTTTCCTGGGAGGAAGACCCACTTCAAAACAGACGCCTTCGCCTCATGTTCAGTGCCTGGTCAAGTAGAAAAAAATACCAGATCAGAAAATACGTGGATCTAGATTCTGGCTCTGCTGCTTGCTAGTTGTGGATCTTTGGACAAGCTACCTCTCCTTTCGGAGCCTCACTCTCCCGTCTGTAGAATGGGATTGATAATGGTATCTACCTTAGGGTGATGGTGAAGATAAAATGAGCCCCTGGCTGGTTTGGTTCAGTGAATAGAGCATCGGCCTACTGATGGAAGGGCCCCTGGTTCATTCTGGCCAAGTCACATGCCTGGATTGCAGGCTTGATCCCCTTCCTCTCTGAAATCAATAATATATATTGATTTTTTTTAATGATAAAATGAGCCACTGTGACCTAAATTGTCCAGCGTATGTTTGACACTTGCTTTATTGGTGGCTAATGGGTGGTTAGGTAGCAGGAGAATATAGTGCCCAAGGGCCTGATCAGATGTCTGGGTTCAAATCTCGGCTCAGCCAGTAGCTGTTTGTGGAATCTCAGGCAAAGTATTTAACCTCTCTGTGCCTCCATTTCCTCATCCGTGAAATGAGGATGATGCTAGTTCCTCCCTCATAAGGTTGTTCGTTATGTGGATCAAGTGTGTAAATGTATGAAAAGCACTTAAGACAGTGCCTGGCATATGAGCGACCTGCTCGTTTTAGTTCCTGCAAGCTCCTACTGGTCTGATCCTTGTGACTCATAACCTTAGCACCTGACAGAATTCTTACAGGGAAGATGTCAACACCGAAACAGGAAGGCGGTAGGGCAAAAACACCATCACCCGAGGGCCGCTCCAGGAGGAGTACGCTCCGCTTCCTTGGCTTCTGTGTTTTTAAGAAAACCAACTCAGCCTCTACCGGCGCAGACCGGGGGCCGGGGTGTGGTGACCGGTGCCCACGTGGCAATCGGGGACTGAGATGCAAAGCACATCGAGGTGACAGCCCTCTCTCTGGGGCGTGGTGTGGGCTGCACCTGGTCCTTCCTCCGAGAGGCAGGCCTGGCTCCGGAAGAGAAGGAGAGGGGGCTGCACCTTGCTCAGTTGGTGGCTGATGGGTGGTTTTTCCAACTCTGTTGACTCTAAGGCTTAGAGTCTATTTCAGGTGTTATCTGTGACCTGTTGTCTTGTTCGTTAGGGTCCTGCTGCCCTGGCCAGGGGACTCCGTTGGTTGGAGCATCATCCCTTATATGGATAGGTTGCAGGTTTGATTCCCAATCGAGTTGTTTCACAAGAAAGCATTTCCATGCTCACTCAGTGATGGAGCTAACCTTAAATATTCCCCATTTATTTTATTTGTTTCTCAGAATAGCAAATAAACGAACCACCAGATATATATATATATAATCTTAAGAATAGGATGTCCTTTACCTCCAGCTGGGGCCTGCCCGTCCAGCCACCCATGCCCAGTTGGAAAGCTGGCGTGGAGCAGTGCTGCCCGCCTGCCAGCCCACAGCATCTGCGGCCCTGGCTGCCCGCAGGCCCAGGAGACGTGGAGGGGAGCCAGACAGAACGGCGTGGGCTGGGCAGCCACCCCCCACGTTGGGTCAGTGCCCCTGGTAGTTTTCCAGGGAGCAAACCTACCTGCTCAACTAGCTTGGCTGCTCAAAAGTCTGCAGCTCAGCCAGCACCGCCTCCTTGACTTGATGGTCTCCTGGCAAAATAAAGGGCTCCTGTTGACAACAGCTTGTTGTGCGATTGCCTGCAAGATCGCAGCAGTTATTAGCAAGGAAAGGTCTTGTCGCAGCACGGGTGTGTGTGTGTGTACACACACATGCATACATGGAGTTGTCATCTACTCTTCAGTGCACACACTCATCTAAGGAACTGGGACTGAATCCCCATCCCCCACTTTTGCTCATTCACACTGTATTTTATAGATTCTAAGATACTTCCTCCCCCCCCCCCCCCCACACACACACATTTCAACTTCTCAAATTGGAATGTGTTGTGCATTCGCTGGTGGTTATAATGTAATTGGCAGTGCCTGTTCTTTCTTGGGGTACTTGAAATAACAGTGCATCTTAAAATCAAAGGCATCTCGAATGTAATGAAACACAAAAACTAGGTAACCTCTAAGAACTTACATAATTTGCCCAGTTTCTTCCAGGAAGGGCATAGAACCACCTTGTGATGGTGGTAGGATTTATGAAAGGACGCTGTAATGCAGTTCATGGAAATGACCTTGAACACAGCAGACTGAGGCTCAGATTCAGCTCATCAGCTGTGTGACCTTGGGAAAGCAGAGCAACCTCTCTGAGCCTCAGGTTTCTTCTTGCACTGAATATGGGCCATGGCTCCATTGTCATCGGGATTACGTACAAGGCACCTTTCCCTATTTCTCTCTTCCTGCGTGTCATCTAAGGTCATGTTGCTCCATCCTACCAGGTTAAAGGGAAAATGAAGGCAGGGAGTGGGCTGCTGGCCTCCCCACGTAGCAGAGAGAAACTGTGGTTGTTATGTACCAGGGCTTTCTGACTCAGTTTACAATCCTCGAACATCGTCTTTTCCTTCCTTCCACCTTCTCCTTCTGCCCCAGTTTTCATTTTCACATGTGTTTCCCTTTAGCAATTTTCTTTCAAATCTCTCTCCTCTTCTTTTCTGTAAAATCTTCCCACATGGGGCCTCTTTGAAGCTCCTTGTGGCGGGAAAGGGGAGGGGGCAATGCCCGTGGCCAGGGTGGCACAGGCCCCAGGAGCCTCAGCCGGCAGGAGTCGGCGACCTAGTGTGCTGAGGTCTCTGCAGCCTTCAGCTCAGGTCCTGGCACCACCAGCCTCGCTCATTCCTGTTCCCAGGGCCTGCGGGGCCCAGCCTGAGAGCGCGCTCCAGGCCTCGGGCTGGGCACTGCCATTGCCAAGTGCTTAGTATTCCCTGAGTCCTCCCTGCGTTAAAATCGGACCTTGTTCAGATCCCAGCCCTGCATTAGCTCTGTGACTTGGTGCAAGCTATTCAACCTCTGAGTCTCAGTTTTTTTTTCATCTGAATGGTGACTGATGCACAAAAACATGGGGCACATGATAACTAACTGCTTACTAGGTCTTCCTCAAATGTTTAAGACCACCTGTGTTTCTTTAGGCACCAAGGGCTTGGGGAGTGCCAGCCGACAGGGTGGCTCCAAATAGAGGAGTTCTGAGCAGGGCACAGCTTCGGGACCTGTGTGAGCACCATGTGTGGGGCGGGAGGGCTGGGCTGCAGGGGAAGGATTAGGGTGAGCCGTCAATACCTGGGGACCCGTGAGGGTGAGACGGATGAGGTGGCTGCTCACTAAGGGAGGAGCAGGACTTGGGGAGCAGTGGGCTGCATTTGAGATCCTGATGTCGGCCAGTAGCCCCCCTTCCTCGGGTGTGTTCACGGTGTCAGGGGCCCACAGCCCCCTCCTTGATGAGGCCTCTGGCATGAGGATGCAGCTCAGTGGTTCCGGGTACCAGGTGTAGAATGAGTGAAACAGTGGGACAGCTTTGTTTACAAAGAGCCCTACAGGCCGGTCCCGGGGCTCCTCTGGGCCCCCAGGAGGCGAGGGCACCGCGCCGCTCCAGGCTGGCGACAGAGAACCGCGCGCCAGCTGGCCAGGGCTGGATGGGAGGATCCCCTCGTTAGGTGATCCTTCTCTCCGTGAATGGTGCCTAAGGGGGTGCCACCTCTCCCAGTCCCAGGGCAGAGAAAGGACCTGCGGGGGAGAGTGTGCCCAGAGGCATCTGTGGGGCTCAGGGAGCTGGGTTCTGGGCTGCAGGGGTGGGGGTAGGGTGTGCGGAGTGTTTATCTGGGGCTTGTTTAGGGTCAGGTGTTTGTGGCAAAGGGAGGGATTGTCTCAGACATAGAACAGCCTGTGCCAAGGCCTGGGGGTGGCGGTGATCGGACAGGAGCTTAGTGCATGAGGGAGGGGAAGGGGCAGTGTCATATCCTGAGGCCAAGACTGACTGGACAGGGCAGCGTGTGCTGGCTGAACAGGCAGGGCCTGGGTCTGTGGCTCTCTGAGGGCGTTGCTGGGTTTTTAGGGTCTCAGACTCCCCGGGGGCCTCCTACCTTCTGAGCCGCATCCATGACCGTGGTCAGACCTGTGCTCGCTCGCCTGTCGCCACTGGGAGAGCCTGGTCCAGCCTGTCCTGGCCTGTAGCCAGCGGCCCCTGGAACACACAGCCCGGTGGCTGGGCCTTGCCAGGCCTGGAGGACACGAGGAGACGCCTGCACTGAGCCTGCGGGAGCACTGCGGGGCTCTGGGTGGGTGGGGGTGCTGGGAGATTATAAAGACAGGACCACACGGGGTGGCCTGCCCTGTCATTGGCCTCCTGATGCCCATCTGTCTGCTCCAGGAGGTGGGTCCTGAGGAGCCTGGCCACGAGCTGCAGGTGAGCATGGGCACTCTGCTTGGTCTTCCAGGCCTGAGGGTGTCTGTGGCAGAGAAGGGGTGGGTGGTGCCTGCCCTGGCTGTGGGCTGTTGGGCAGGGCCCGCTCTGTTCAGGGTGCTCTCCCTGGGAAGTTCCGGCGCCTCCTATGAGGTGCCCGCTGACAGAATGCCGCTTGGTCCCTGTGGGCGGCTGCGAGCAGGGGAGCTGGCCCTGCTCTCCGGGCCCAGGCATCCACTTGAAGCTCCTCTTATCACGATGAAAAACCAAGGGGCCCCCAAAACAAGCCCCACGGGCTCTTGACTGGGAGTAATTAAGCCCTCACTTCAAAAGCCACCTCTGAAAAGCTGTAATTTGTAACCGCAGGAGCTGCCAGGAGATGCTCAGAGAGCCGGGGAGCCCTTGATGTGCGCCCCTTGAGCCTGTTCACGGGCTCTCCACTGGAGTGGGCCCACACCTGGCTGGGTGGGAACTGGAGAACTGAGATGGGGTGATTGAACTTAGGGGTTCGTGGCTCAGGGTCACACGGCTCTACCTTTTTGTAGAGAGAAAAGCCAGCCCTTAGCTTCAGGGGAACGTGCACTGTGCCCTCCTGTCGGGAGGAGACAGTATTATTGCTGGGACTTATGGGGAGAAAACCAGAACCCCCCACACTCCCCTTCCCTTCCCCCCTCCCTGTAAAGCACAGAGCAGATGCTGGCCACGTGGCCAGGGCTCGGAGGGCTGCCTTCTTCCCTTTCTCTCAGTTGTGGCTCCACTGGCCCCGCTGGAGACAGAAGGGCTGCGTGTGGGTTTGGGTCGGGGGACAGGGAGCTGGGCTTGCAGAGAACACCTCTCTGACCTGCAGCGTCTGCTCGCTGACATGCCTGGAATTCTTGGGGCTGGCTGCTGGGTTTGGTTTCCAGATGTGGAAGCAATTTAAGTTCTGTTTTCATAATCCCCAACAGTTGGTCTCCAAAGTCCACATTCTCATTTGAAAATCAAGGCTGTTGGCTCTGTTTGGGGGAGGGAGGGAGGAGGCTGCTTCAGGAGGCCTCTGAGTCCTTTCTGTGCAGGAGGTAGGTCCACTGGGCACTCCGATTTGGGACTAGGGTTTTGTTGGGACAGTCATCCCCATCAAGGGCTTGGTCTCTGTGGGAGCAGAGGTTGACCCTGGGGCCACCTCCCTGTGGGTTTTCCTTGGAGATAAGTCACTTAGCTACAGTGTCTGCCTGGCCCCTCACTCACCATCCCTGACTCTGGAAGGACTGCCTGGGGGTGGGGCGTAGAGAGGGGACTTGGGTTCTGGCCAGTCAGAGGAAGGCTAGCGTCACAGCCGAGCAAGGTGCCCACATGTCCCAGGGATGGCAAGGGCACTCCTTCCCCAAGTGACCACAACAGAGGGAAGACATCTGCTCTGGATTTCAAGTAGCCAAAAATACTGCCTGGCATGGAGAAACTGGTAATATCTTACCCAATTACTGAGCGCCGCTGGCCACAGAGGTGGCCCGACCCAGGGCCAGAGGCTCTGTGGGGCCAGCCTGTGGGGCCAGGGCTGACTGCTGGCCTCTTGTCCTGTAAACCAATCCCTGTTTAGGTAAAATCTCTTTGGCATTTGTGTTATAACTACACTCAATACCGTTCTGGGCAAACAGAAATCACCTTTGCAGTTTTAAATGTCTCTGACTGAGCTGCCCATGTATTTCTTTAAGGGTAAATCCACCTGTATTACTGAGAGAACATAGAAACGGGAATAATTTCCCGAGCTCCATATATAAATAGTGTTTACAAACCACAGGTGCAGCAGGCTTCGGATTCAGGGAAGGTAGTCTCTGTAGAAGCAGCAGCATCTCCAAGTGATCGTGAAAGAGAAGTCTGTTCCTTTTGAGGAGAGACCAACACAAACAGAAACCCCACGCCTCTTAGTGGGATCCTGGAGGCCCCGTAGTTCTCCCGGAGGTTGACTTGAACTGACCGAAGGAGTTTGGATTACTGTCGGGGTGGGAAGGGGGTGGAAGCCGAGGGGTTTCATGCAGGCTCCTTGGGAGGGAAGGGACGTGTATTTGTTGTCCAGGGCACACAGCACAGTGCCATAGGCCGGGGGGCTCAAATTACTAAAATTAATTTTCCCCGCAATATTGGAGCCTGCCATCTGAGAGCGAGGTGTTGGCAGGGCGGATTTCTTCTGAGGCCTCCATCTCCTCAGCTTGCAAATGGCCAGGGTGTCCTCTCCCTATGTCTTCACATGGTCGTGTGTGTGTGTGTGTGTGTGTGTGTGTGTGTGTGTGTGTAATGTCCGTGCCCTAATCTTGCTGCTCGTATTGGATTAGGGCTCACCCTAATGACTTCATTTTAGTTTAATTATTTCTTTAAAGATGCAATCTCCAAATCCAGCCATATGGAATTGTGGGGAGCAGCAGAAAGCCTCTCTGGAACGGTCCTCCAGGGGGAGGAGGGAGAGGAGGGGGAGCAGAGCCTGGCTTCGCAGGAAACCTGTGGGGAGGCAGAGGCTCACCGGGTGGCGGGCCATTGGGATGCTGCTCAGCTAACTGCTGTATTTAGAAAAGTTTCTCATCATGTTATAACTTGTGGTTCACTTTCCAGAGATGATCATTCTCTCTCTCTCTCTCTCTCTTTAAATATATTTTTATTGATTTCCAGAGAGGAAGGGAAAGGGAGAAAAAGATAGAAACATCAATGATGAGAATCATTGATTGGCTGCCTCCTGCACGTCTCCCACTGGGGATCAAGCCTGCAACTCGGGCCTGGGCCCCGATCGGGAATCGAACCGTGACTTCCTGGTTCATGGGTTGACACTCAACCACTGAGCCACGCCGGCCGGCTGGCAAGATGATCTTTCTTACAGCTTGAGCCACGTGCCCCCCTCATCCAAATGAACTTGAACTGATCCTTTGGAGCCTAGACCTCTCATCGTTCAGTTCTTCCTGCGGCTTAGTTACCCTCGGAGGTTGGGTAAGTCCTCCAGCCTCCCTGCTTCGCCCTCCAGGAGAGTGGTAAGGACGCTTCACTTCTTCATGTTCCTTTTCAACTCGTCAGGGATTTTACACTTTCTCCAACCAGTTCAGTGAGTTTGGAACAACTGCTGTTCCTGTTTTATGTACCTAAGGTTTACGTCTAACATACTGAAAAAGATGAGACCTTTAAGAATGGATTATGGAAAGCCATTGGGGGTGAGGCCCAGCCACCCACTGTATAATATAACTCACAAGGTTTTTCCCAAAGCAGTGCCCTACAGCACCTCACAGCACCCCTCGCCAGACCTGAGGACCCAGAGCCCACCGCACAGCCCCTCCAATAGCCATGACTCCATCAGCCATGCAAACCAGCCCCTGTCACCAAGACAGACTACCATGGAGCTGGCGGAGAAGGAAACTGCAGCTTCAATAAGGATTCGCATGTCCGGGGTCTGGCCAATGCTGTGACCATGTTCGCTTTATCTGTATATAACTGTTCTTCCTGAGCCATTTGAAAGGAAGTTAGGCAAGACCTTATCAAAAGTAAGGACAGTTCTCTTTTGTAACTATATACCATTGACACATATAACAAAGTCAAGCATAATCCCCTGATATCACCTAATCCATCTTTTAGTTTCTCTCGGTGTCCCCTAAAGGTCTTTTGCAGCTGGGTGGTTGTTTGCTTGTTTGTTTGACCTGGGATCTAACCTAGGATGACATGCAGTTTTTATGTCTCTTGAATCTAGACCAGTAGTGTTCATGGCCTGGGACCAGCGGCACCTGAGAACTTGTTAGAAATGCTCTTTTAAAAAAAAGTATTTCAACCTGTAGAAGTGCACGTTTTCAGACCTCACCCCAGAAAACGATTCAGAAACTGATTCAACCTGAATTTTAACAGTTCCTCCCACCCCCATGGGATTCGGATGTGCATACCGAGTTTGAGAACCACCGGTCTGGAAAAACCCCCTCCCTCTTCTTTATACATCCTCTTTTGGAAAAGACCGGGCCCGTGGACTTGCAGAGGGTCACACAGACTTTGGCTGTTTTCCCTGTGTTGTGCGATTCGTTCTCCCGTCTCCTGTCTTTCCGTTGAGTGGAAGTTGGACCCGAAGACTTGAGGAGAACTGTTGTGTTGTTAAAACTGCATAATAGGTGTTGTTGTAGCCCTCCTACAGTATCACGTCAGGGGGCTGATGTCTGGTTGTTCCCGATGAGTGGTGTACGGTTTCACACCCGCGTTGACAATAGCCTGCTCTCTCCGTGGTAGAGGGGTGGGGCGCGGTGGTTGCTGGACTTGGCAGGGATCTGTGGGGCGATTCTTTGGTTCTGTGTAAGTACCCAGCGCCTCACCAGCCACTGACTGATGGTTTTCATCTACGTTTGTTGGATGTAGAGTTTTTTATTGGTGTCAGGTCAAGTTTGTGTTGTTAAATCTGTCTCCCTCCTACTTCTCTTGTTTGCTTGCTCTATCGATTTCTGAGGGAGGTGAATGAAAACCTCCAGCTTTGGGTTCTAATTTTGCTTTATATATTTTGAAATGATGCTTTTAGATGCCTGAATGTTTACAAGTGTTACATCTTGTCAAATGAATCTTTGTCATTTCTTAATGTTCCTCCGTCTCTTACCTTAAAGTGTACTTTGTCTGGTATTAATATAGCCTCTCCAACTTCTGAGAAGTTGGTGTTTATGTCGTGTATTATTTTTAATTTTTTCACTTTCTACCTCTCTGTGACCTTATGCTTAAATGATGTCTATTGTAAATGGTATGTAGTTGTTTTTATTTAATCCGACAATACGTGTCTTAATAGGATGGTTTATTCCATTTTCGTTATTTTCTCCATTAGGTCCTTAGTAAGACATTTTTATTTGTTAACTGCCGACTATTGATGTACTCAAACATGATTGGCATGGAAATGGCATGGGAGGAGGGTAGAGGGCTCGAGTGTCTCCTAGAAGGCAGATGTCCCTGCTGTGAGGTGAGGGGCGTTTCCAGTGGATCCGGGATCTGGGCCTGAGCCTAATGGGCTTAAAAACTAGATCTTGTTGGCTCTTCTCACACCCCTGGGACTCATGCTGCTCATGCCCACAGATTGTCCTCAGATGGAAGCACAGAGCCGGAATGCCAGCTGCTTCCTTTACGGTGAGAACTGGGCTCTGGCGCCAGCGCCGGCAGCCCTCTCCCAGTTGTCATGGGCTCCTGGGAAGTTTGCCTGATTGGAAGGGTGGTGTGTGAAGGTGGACACAGGGAGCTGGGTGAACACGGAGTGGTCTCGTGCTCGGGCGTCAGCTGAGCTGAGCCTCACAGCTTTGGGGGCAGCTGGTCATGCGGGGCAGCCAGCCAGCCAGACCCCCTGCGGTCCACCCTCCCTCCCAGCCCCTTGCTGGGGACATGTTAGATCCCTGGATACTTCCGGTCCCTCTGC